CTCTAAAACAAATCATTTTATCAAAATTTTATAAGAGACAAAAAATGTTCAACAATAAATGATTACCTGAAAAAATACCGTTTGGAAGTCATTGGCGCACGTACTAAAAAATAGGGGGAGTCAGTGAGTACTGGACCCCCCTATTTTGATTATTTGACAATTGTTTTTTGTTTTGTTGGTCTCCAAAAATGTAACTATTTATGTTGAAGTAGTGTACCGAATTTAAACTTAATATCTTATCAATTACTTGAATTATTAAAAAAAATCAGTTTTAAATTTCAAACTTTGTCGCCCTGTATATCGAACCTGAAGCTCTAAATTAAAAAATGGTATTATGAAAGTCTTATTGTTTTAACTCAAGGAATATATGGTTAACGGATTGACCTCCTTTTCCCGGACACCCTGTATGTATGTTTGTTTTAAATTTAGTATTTTAATTCAGTTTTTAATATTTTACTTGGAGCGATATAAAACACGTCTATCTCGCACTGTACATACTCGCTTTTTTGGGTTTATAATGTCGCTATTTAAAAAATATATACACAAATTAAAGCCACAATATTAGTTATTTAGTAAGAGATTTTTATGTATGAAAGATTAATGTATACCATAATTTCTAAGTGCGCAGGATCTGTTTAGAATACTTTGAAATTTAATATACATGACACAGACATTCGCTGGTTATGCTCCATTTGGGTGAGACCGATAAACTTGTCTATTGTATGAGGCCGTAATAATTGAATATGTATATATGTATATATATATATATATATATATATATATATATATATATATTAGGGTGGCCCAAAAAAAAAGAATATTTTTTTTACTCCTCTCTTATAAAAATATGTTAGTTTATCATGCTGTAAGAGCACTGTCAAAATATCAGCTCGATTAAAAAAATTTTAGGGGTCGCTCAAGATTTTTTAAAATTTTCAAAATCGTCAAAAATTGAATTTTTGTTTTATTTTAATTTTTTTTCTCGTTTTATTTTTTTGGTTGAAAATAATAAAAATTCTGTAAAATTCAAATCAATATTTTTATTTCTAAAGGTCGCTAAAAGTTCGTTGATATTTATATTCAGAGGTCGCTCAAAAACATTCAAAATACTCTACTTTGAAAGTTAAAAAAATCTTGAGCGACCTTTAGAAATCAAAATATCGATTTGAAATTTTTAGAATCATTATTATTTTTAAATTAAAAAATTATATCGGAACGAGAAAAAAAATTAAAATAAAAAAAAATCCAATTTTTGACGAATTTGGAAATTTTTAAAAATTTTGAGCGACCCCTAAAAATTTTTTATTTCCACCTTCTTAGTAAATGACATTTTATAAGTTAATTTTGTTGTTTTTGTATCCAAGTAAACGATACATTATGGGAACAGACCTGTAATATTTTACGGGCTTGTATAAAAGACCTGTAAAGTTTTACAGGCTTGTAGAAAAGCAATTTTTGATATGAAATGTCACAGTTGACACACTAATATAAATTTTAAATTTGAAAATAGTTATATAAAGGTGAAAATAAAAGTTTGTACGTGTCACGCTTTGCAATTAATCTTTACTAGGCTCACTGGATTATGGGGTTCGCTCCTTCGTCGCTCACCCCACAAACTTCCAGCTCGCCCGTAAAGATTCATTTACAAAGCTTGACACGCTGATCTTTTGACAGGGCTCTTAAAACATTACAAACCAACATATTTTCACAAGAGACGAGAGAAAAAAAATATTCTTTTTTTTTGGGTCACCCTAATATATATATAATAATAATAATACTTTATTCAAAAAAGCCTCTTGGGCAACGAACACGTCAATACAAAAAATATAAATAGCTCTATAGTGATACAATACACGTACACAAAGTATTAACAATAATTGAACATACAAGGTAAAAATAAAATAACAAATTGGTAAAATAGGTTTTAAAATAGGCTTTCAACTAAAATATTTTAAAGTTTATAATCATAAAATTTCTCTGTGGAGTAAAAACACTGAAGTTGAAATATTTTTAAAATTTCAAGTTTAATTTTTTTATCATTTAGTGTTTTTATATGATGTGGAATATGATTATAAATTTTTATTATTTAATATTTTACACTTTTTTGAACTAATGACAAATTTGTTTTATCAGGAATTAAAACTTTTTTATGTCTAGTTTCATAATTTTTTATCAAAAAAAATGAGTTCTTCCTTAAAAACATAACACATTCTAGTATACCGTACCTTCATTTGCAAGCTATACATACAAGTTGAAGTCAGCGCAAAGCGAAAAAGTTCTTAGAAATTATATGGACGTAATAAAATTTTAATCGTCAGTAAACAAGGTCACCTGTTACGTCGCATGTTAGTCTACTCATCCACTCGTCAAAATAATTTCTGGGAACATTTTCGTTTCGCGCTTCGACTTCGACTTGTCTGTTCCACCTACAATGTATTTTCCCTATGTATAACTTGCAAATGAAGGTACGGTATAAATTGAAGTTACTGTGAGAATTTTAAACTTTTTAAAAAATGGTTTACACGAGTCATTGTGCAATGCAGTTTATTTGGCTTTGGTGGTGCGTAGATGAGTAAAACCATATAAAAGTTAAATATAGGTGACTACGGCCCAGGAGAGACAAAGTATTCCTAGCGGATAATAATCTTCGCTTTAAAAAGAATTTATTTAAAAGAAAATAAAATTTTAGTGGCTTAATAATAATTATAATGTATATATTCTTTCTCCCTATTTTTTGTTTTTTTATTTCCCTTTTTTTTTAATTTAAAAAAATTCGCTTATCGTACGAAGGTTCAAATTCTCGTACTTGTATTATTAAAGATGGGAATACCGGTTTACTTTTTTGTCGCGGTTACAGGAAAATACCGCAACAAAATAGCGCGATAAAGTAAAAGCGGTTTCATATGAGAAAAATGTTTTCATTGGTCGATTTGATTTGTCGGGAAAAGCGTTTTGACGTTTCGACAGATCCTGCGAATTCGCAAGATTTGACATCTGGGGGCGGGAATCTTGAGATTGATCCAATATTTTGCGAAAACCGCACGAATTTGTCGTGATGAGCATTAATTAATCATTTCAACAAAAAATAAGCGCAATTGCACGCCTTCGTCGCCAATGGCATAATTGCGACTGGTATAATTGTTCATGGATAATAAAAACACAAAATGTCAATTCACATAAAACCACAAATAGAAAATGTTAACCAAGTATGGCAAATATCGCCTGGGGAGAAAATTATGTCCCTAAAATACCATTGCAAATATCGCCTAGTGAGAAAACAATGTCCCTAAATTTTAGGGCCTAAAATAGTTCCGACAGTTCGCATCTATTTGAAATAGGAGTTTCGAAATGCGAATATTCGTATTTCGCATCTATTTGAAACCGCTTTTAGACTGCTCAAGAATTTGGTTCTAAATCACTTAAGATTCTTAAGTTAAGAAGCACAGATTAATTAATTAATTACACGTTTTTGTATTTATATTTATTTATTAAAAATTTTCAATAAAAACACCAAATATACATATAAATAAACATGTGTATGTACAATTTGCACCTATTTAAAATAATCACAATCTTTAAACACAGAGCAGCTTTACACTATTGCAGGGTCTGAAAGTTAATGTTTTACTCACTTTTGCTTTAATCAAGCAAACAATAATTATAATTAAGGAATACATTACGTTTTGCTTGTTGATAAATAAAACTTGTATTGTATTTCATGATTATTATAGTATAACTAAATAAAAATATTCAATAAAGAGTACAAAAGAAAAATACTTTTAAATCAGTCCCTACAATATTGATAACACTGGTCAACAGCCATGTGTGGTCAATTTTTCTAGTGTAATTTAGGTGCGCTGATTCCAAAATAACCATAATTTTGCTCAATTAGCCTTCGTTTTGTAGATATTGTAAAACACCGTTTTTCCGTTATGCAAACATTAAAATTTGTATAAATATTTTTTAGTTAGTCCCTTAAAAAAACCTATTTTTAACGAAATTAAATCGCCTTTTTAGTAGGTACGAACAATTTTTGTAGTTCCATTTATCTACTTTATTATATATTATATAGCAAGACAATCAAATAAACATTGCCAAAATGGTACTCAAAACAACCTCCCGTGTCACAATTTATATTCACGGCATTTTCGCTTGTACAACTAAAGTCGTAAGAATTCATAAAAAATCCTGTGAACAAAAATAACACCCATCAACAGTGGTCATTCCACATGAACTCTGGTATGTAATTATTACGAAATTTGTTAATTTCCTCCAAGTTAATTTGTCATCCCACATGTTAAACTGTTTGAGTTCAACTTACAGAGAGTAATGAAAATTACCTAATACCTAATTGAAATTATGTACCTATTACCTAATAAAAATAAGTTTAAGTTGCATATTCATACACACAGGATGGAAAGCTTCCACCCCAGTTTTCTTAGGTGTTACCTACGTAAAAAAATAAATAAAAAACTCTCCCACACATCTATTTTTAATTTTAGGGGGACAATTTATTATTATGTTTTTAAAGTGATACCTCATTTTAAAGGCTTTATCCCTTCATTTTGCATATCAACAAAAATGTTTTTTTAAGAAAATCTCAAAAACAAAGGCAAATTAAGCAAAATAATGGTCATTTTTTATATCAGCGCACCCAAATCACCCTAGAAAAGTTGTTAGCTCCCCTGTGGCAAACATTTTTTTTTCGACCAGTGTAAAAGGCGACTTCTTTAAATTAAAAAAAAAATTGTTAAATTAAACAGGATTAAAAATATAAAATATTTTTTTCCTACTTGATCATAAAAGTTTCTTCAAAAACTTTGTATTTAAAAATAGTGTTATTTTGTTTGTCATGTTATACACAGTCATACACTGGCTTGATAAGGATAATTTAGTTACCTTTAACATTATTTTTTAATGAATATAAAATTGACATTTATATTTACTTACATAATTGTTTTTGTATGTATGTTAACATAAAACGCAAAACATTGTCTGTCCAATAATTTATTTAAATTATTCATAATTTATATTGAAAAAATAACACCTTTTTTAAATGTCTCAATTTAATGACTAGAATTAATTGATATAATACCTATATATAAAAAATTAAAATAAAACATTTCATTGTCCAGTCTTATAAGAGAAAAATGTATTTCAATTTCTGTATGCCACTACCTGGAATTTTAAAGGTACAGTTGAATTCTGGTAAATGTAAGTAATATGTTAAAAATGGTTAATACCAAAATTGTTACTGAAATATTCAACACATACTTACAAAATTTAGATAATTTTATTTTTGTCAACTATTTTTGGGAGTAAAATAAAAAACATGTTCATTTTTGTAATAACAATTTTAACATAATATGTAGGTAGGTACATTTATTTACCAAAATAGCCAACTGCATGCCTAAAATTTGTAGTAATATTATTGGCTTTTATACCTATATTGCAAAATTAAATTATTAGACTGGTAAGTTAGTCTAAATGTTAAATGAGAATCAAGAATAACCCATAATCATAAATATATTCATGACAAATAATACAAAAACTGATGATATGTCATAAATAAAAGCTGCCCTTGTGCCCCAAAAAAATATTTAAAAAATAATTAAATTACCTAACTAAAAACTTATCCGACATTTCCAAACAGAACTATAGTAACTATTCCTAGAACATATGCAGCCACAATTTTCAAATTTGCACTAATATGCAAGTAATCAGGTAGATTTGAAGGTGTGTGTTCCTCCATTTTTGTTGGTAACAGCAACATGTTTACACAAACTATTCCTAAGATTATTGCAGTAATATAACTTACTTTTCTTGACGGAGTTGCAGTTCTAGTACTAAAAAATATATAAAATTAATATTGAAATTTTTTTAAAAAATAATTGTGCTGATATTACCCATAAGATACACTGGAAAAATTACTTCTTTGGTCATCATTTAAACTAGTTCGGTCACTAAAACATCCACTGGAAATTTCTCTGTCTCCACTATTTTTTTCCCCATTTATAAGAATAGCATCAACTACTTTTTTGCCTAGTGTCTAAAAAACATTTTTATTAATTAATAACACAATAATTTGTAAACATATTTTAAAAATATAATACCTATTATTAAACTGAATTTTAATAAATTTATATCTTAAGATATGTAAGTAGGTATGTATGAATTATTTATAGGTACTTTATTATTTATCTTTTGTACATTTGAGAAGTTTTATAGTAAGTATAAGATTATATTGTATTGATCCAACAATAAATACCTATTTTATTATTATAAATTTTAAACCAAAAACAATTGAGTTGGTGAGATTAAAAACAGTACAAGTCCAAAGTTAACATTTTGACAAAATATTTAAAAAAATCAGTTTTATAATTCTAAATGCATTTTTGTGAGAATATTTTAACTATTTTATAAAATATAATATTCATATTCTGTAAAATGATTTATATCTTTTCACAAAAAATTATTTTTAACTTTAAAATTAGTTTTAGAAAATGACTTGTCAAAATTAATTTTTTGGACTTGTACTGTTCATATTCTCACCGATTCAATTAAGGGTTCAATTGGTACAAATTTTAATATTCCCCAATTTTAAAATGCAGAGTAGGTATTTAATAATGATAAATATACCTGTTTAGTTGTATAATTTAATAAAGCTATTTTAAATTTATCAGTCACATTGCAATTACTTTGTGATGGCATTGTATGCCTAACAACAAAATCAACACATGATGCAGGTCCGATACTTCCTTCGGGGTCCATGACATGGTATTTTGTTGGAGCTGTGCATAGCACTAAAAATGCAAGTTAATTCCGTAATTGGGACACAATACATGCATAAAATTTACCTCGAAATCTCACAGGAACGTCTGCAGGATTGTACAAAGTTAAAAGTTGCTTGTGCGTTTCTCTACTTAACAAATAGAATTTCAAGGAATTTGGAAACACAAAAACTGGAAAATTGTCTACATGTGAACTCATTTTTTAAACCTAATACGTGCTTGTTATTGTTGTGAAATATTCTAAAAACTAGGGAACTAAGTTATTTTCAAAATAACCCTAGTGGTAGACGTCAAATTTAATGACACTTAAGCAGGAATACCAACCTAATTTTTAAAGAATATCACACTAAAAATTTAATTCTGTCTGCCATACACTGCAACTGCAACATAATGATTTAATCAACTTGTTGCAGCAAGAACCATACACCTTACATAGTGTATCAAGTTGATACAATCCACTGGATTAAGAATTTGAGGCAGGCTCATAGCCAGCCTGACGATTTAGACGGGGCTAAGGGAATTCTAGAGGAGGCTTATTAAGCCTGATTTATAGATTGTCTTCCTTCCTTCCTTCCTTCCTCCCGTAAAAGATGAACAATACGAAATCCGTAGTGCCATTTATAGATTCCCGTACGGGATTGTACAATCCCGTACTGGAATCTATAAACGGCACAAATGTGAAGCAAATGAAGAAAAATGTGCTAACCCTTGTCTCTGGTGCTAACTGTATATGGGCAGTAAATAAACTAAATTTGAATATAAACACAAATCATACGGCATATGACAAAAACTGTCCAACGTATAAAAAAACGATTGAAAGAGAAATAAACAGCACTAAATTTAATATATAGCAATTAGAACAAAATATTATGAATTTTAATTGTCAAGGATCCTTACATCGATACATTAACGATAAAACGTTTGTAGATGCATTGGTAAATGACTAAAGGAAAATTATTTCATGTGAAACACATGACATTGTACCTAACTAACTGATCTTATTTACAATAAGGAGTTGGAAATTAATGAATATAATAAAGAAATTAATAGAACTGGTGGGGTGAGTATATAAAAAAATAAATTAATTATAAAGTACTTAACAAAAGATGTATTAACTGAAAGTTATTTATGGTTAATATCTATTGAATTTAACATTAACGAAAATTATTATTTACTTACTTCAATTTATCATCCCCCAAAAACAAATGACAATTTATTCATAGAATTTTTTGAAAACTATAGTTTTGGGAAAGTACCGTCTAGAGTTTTTTTGATGATCGACAAATATTGATGACATCGCCTATAAAGTCGTTTAAAATGACGATCGTTTATCTAAACGTTGGCGATCGTCATACAAATCAGGCGATCGTGTATTCTAAGCAGTCGAACGTCTTCAGATAATGACTTTGAAAAAACAAGGGTCTTGGCTACCATCGAACACAGAACCAAACGTACCATCCGTGAAGCCATTGAAATAGAAAAACGTCCAAGAAACCTCAACACAAGAGACGATACACAGAGACTACCAACTGCATGTAAACCAGCTCTTACAACCACCAAACCGCCACGCAGATTAACGAAATCAATGGAGCTGAACATAACACAGGTTCAATCGCAGTCACGGTTAATAACGCGGAAAGCTAAGAGGGTATATAAACAACGATCATCGGCAACGGAGCTCACTTCACGTCTAACTCGCAGCAGAGCAGCAACAGCAGCCCAGCAGATAAGACCTGAAGATGGTACATGAGATTGTACCATTGTATATATATATACATTGAAATATTTCGAAAACTACGCATCGGATCAAAAAAAGTTTTGAATAAAATTTGTTCGCCTGGAAGGGGGCCATCCAATGATACCAAAGTCGACTCCTCACCACCACCCCCTGGGTGGGGGTGGGGGCAACTTTAAAATTATAAATAGGAACCCCCATTTTTTATTGCAGATTTGGATTTCCCATAAAAAAATAAGTAACTTTTATGGAAAACCTTTTTTTAAATTCCTGATAGATGGCGCTGTAATCGCAAGAAACCCTATTTTTGGGAATATCTTGAAAAATTGCAGATTCGGATTTCCCATTAAAAATTATAATTAGTGTATACGAGAATTGTTAGGGAATTCAAAATAAATTAAATTATTTAATTCCTTTTTTATGTTGGTACCTTACTAATGCGTCCAGGTATGTACATAATATGTTATAAAAACATATTTATACCTTTGGTATAGAAACACTGTCACAGGAGAAGCTAATGAAATTATTGTGATAGCAGCTGTTCCACATAACCCTCATGTAAGCACTCGGGAAATACATCGGGATCTCGGGTTTCCAGAGATAGTATTCGGAAAATATTGAATCATCACAAGTATCCCAGATAGCACAAGTACGTTCGTAGGACGTTCGTAGGACTTCCACCCAGGACAACCCGAACGTCCTCAGGATGTCCGGGGTCTGCAAAAGTACGTTCGTAGTACGTCCACAGACTTCCGAAATAGACTGTTTCAGATGTCCTCAGGACGTCCGTATTTGACCGTCCACAGACTTCCGAAATAGGATGTCCTCAGGACGTCCGTATTTGACCCCAAGCTGTCCAATTCGGGACATATGAGGACCGAATTAGGACATAGTTTTATTATAATAGGGAAATGTAATACAGTGTTAACAAGTGTTTTGTTAATATATATATATATATATATATATACAGGGTGTCCGGGAAAAGGAGGTCAATCCGTTAACCATATATTCCTTAAGTTAAAACAATAAACCTTTCATAATACTATTTTTATTTATTTCTCCATTGAATTTCACATACCTTCATATCTCTAAATTATTTAAAAATATCAAGTGAAAACTTAAATTTTGTAGGGGTTTTTCCATATAATAAAAGTTGTTTTCACTTATATCATATATTTAAATACACAGAAATTTAACTAAACAGGGAGCTAACTAAAAACAGCACACGCTGTTTTATGAACAATGCCAACATGGCGGATTTCAGACTGCCAACTTAAAGTCACTAAACTGGTTACTTCCAATACCAACTGTTTATTTGGCGGTAAATTTGAAATAAACTCTTACAATTTATTGCATTAAAAATATTATAGGACAAATTAAATAATTTAAATGTTAAAGTGGAGAAATTTCTCCAATGGTATTTTTAATTCGTATTATACATTTCTCATATAATATTATTAATTCAAATTATTAATTTGGCCAATGTGATATTTTTTATTCAACAAATTAAAAATATAATATACCTAATATATATAATATAATTAAAAATAATTTTTTAAAATTTGTAATGATATTTTTAATGCAATGAATTAATTAATTTTACTAGATATTTTTAAATAAGTTAGAGATATGGAAAATTGCAATTGCTAAAAATACTTGACAACTAAAGACACAATTCCACTTAAGTGGATAAAGGGTCTATCTATAGACATATAAGTGAAAAAAAATTGACAACTTTTTTTTAAAATCTTTTATCGTGCTTGATTAAGGAGTATTTTTAATAAAAAACAAGGTGTAATTTTTTTTCACTTAGACCCGGGTCGCGACCAGAAAACCGATGGACGTCCTGAGGCCTAGGCCTATGGACGTCCTAAGGCCTAGGCCGATGGACATCCTGAGTACGTCCATCGGTTTTTTGCCTGCGACAATAGTTGAAGATACAAATTGATATATCACCTTTTATAAAGGCCTTTATAAAGGGTGATATATCAACTTGTATCTTCAACTATTGTCGCAGGCAAAAAACCGATGGACGTACTCAGGATGTCCATCGGCCTAGGCCTTAGGACGTCCATAGGCCTAGGCCTCAGGACGTCCATCGGTTTTCTGGTCGCGACCGTCTGTAAAGGATTTAAACCGGATGTCCTCAGGACATCTTGTGCTATCTGGGATCACCCATACCGGGTTTCACTGCCTCAGGAACTTCATGGCAATGATTTTCATCGGCGAGTAGAATTTTGTGAATGGGCAGTTCAGCTAATCTACTATTTTCAGATGAGTCCACATTCACAAACGATGGTTCCGTTAATCGGCATAACATGCACTATTGGAGTGTGGACAATCCAGAGGCGGATTAAATGTCGAGAGCGCCCTAGGCAAGCACCTCATCGGCGCCCCTTTAGCGGCCATATATTATAAATTTTAACTAGTACTTACATAATAATTAGATGTATACCCTGCGGTTTCACCCGCGTGATGCCCCATACCGTGGAAATTTCGGTCTCCAGCTATCTACATACCAAGTTTTATCACAATCGGTTTAGTAATTTTTGCACGAAGAAGTTATAATATTATTAGGGTAAGTACACGTGTCCTGGCGTATGCTTATAATTAGTTATATGCCAGGACACGTGTACTTACCCTTAGGCGTGAACGAAATATGTGATATACAATTCCATAGAATTAACTTCTACAACATCTTTTACATGTTAATTTTAATTTTATGTTAATTAGGAGTACCGATACAGACGGCCAGTCGAGTAAATGTGCTCTCGAATTCGATCGCTCTTAAGTGTACCGAATAATAAGTTTTAAGGAAACATAAAAATCGCTCATATACAGTGTAGTTTAAGTAAAATAATGGTCGAAATTGGAGCAAAGATTTACTACTTGGACAACGAAAATCAGTGTACCTGTTGCCCAAAGTCAAACATTAAATTAGTGCATTATAAAGCAACCCCAACAAGTGAATATAGTGAATACGGACACGGAAGTAATTAAGTGATAAATGACAGCATACCTGAAGATCTAACCCTAGACCAATATGAATCACCTTATGTAAGGAACAAACTATCCTAGAGTGGAAGGGTCCATCATCTGCAAAAATCTGATAAGTACCAATTAATCGCATGATCTAATACGCAAATTCGCAACAAAAACCTAACAATAATCAATCATTATTACTGAAAACAGTGTAACAGTGTAAATTACTCAATCATTAGGTGAGACCGTCACAAAACATAAATAAGCATAAACTTAGAGGCCAGCCCCAAAAAATTTAAATGTTTAAAACTTAACGAACGAAAATAAAATAAACAACCAGTTCCGATATTTGCCTAACTTAAACATAAACCACTAAACACTTCTAAATTTTAGGCATTGCATGCTGCTAGCTGTATAAGAAAATTAAAAAAAGCAAAGTTAAGAGCAATTCTATAGAATAAATATTATAAATGTAACTTCTAATGGTTAGAAAAGAAAAAGAAAACGTAAATACAATTTCTCCACAAAATGAAGACAACTATCCATCGATAGTTCTCGACCCCTACACTGAGGAAACGGTTTT